ATAAATAATTAAATATACATACTGAATCAATAAAACTCCTTAGAGAAAACATAGGGGAAACACTCCAGGAAGTAGGAGTAGGTACAGAATTCATGAATAGGACCCAAAAAGCAAAGGCAACTAAAAGTAAAATAAAATAAGCAAATGGGATTATATCAAACTAAAAAGCTTCTGCACAGCAAAAGAAACAATCAACAGAGTAAAAGAACAACCAACAGAGTGGGAGAAAATATTTGCAAAATATACATCTGACAAAGGATTAATATCCAGAATATACAAGGAACTCAAACAACTTTACAACAAAAAAACAAATAACCCAATTAAAAAATGGGCAAAGGAAGATATATGAATGGCCAACAGACACATGAAAAAGTGTTCAATATCACTCAACATCGGGGAAATGCAAATCATCATCAGATGAGTGGATAAGGAAACTGTGGTATATCTACATAATGGAATACTACTCTGCTACAAAAAAGAATGAAATACTACCATTTGCAACAACATGGATGGGCGTAGAGAAAATTATATCAAGTGAAACAAGTCAGGCACAGAAAGAGAAATACCATATGTTCTCACTTATTTGTGGGAGCTAAAAATTAATAAATAAATAAACACACAAACAAAGTGTGGGGGGAAGAAGACAGAATAACCACAAAAATTCCTTGAAATATTTAAGCCAAGTGCACAGATATGAAGTGGAGGGTGGACGGGAGGGCGTGGAGAGAAACAGGTAAAGGGGCATGAAAATCAAGTACAATGTATTTTGAGAAGTAAAATAAAATAAAATAAAATAAAACATAACTACCTCAAATAAAAAGAAAAAAATTGTAAATAATAATTCGTTTTCAGACTGATTATGTAGCTTAACATAGTCACAGTCATCAATTTGCTAACACTGGTCGGCCTGTTAACATTCAATCAATCACCAAGTATTTATTATCTGCTATGCCTTCATAGTATGCTGATAGGGAAAATTTAAAAAGTTGCAAATGGGACTTTTGAACTTTGGCTTGTAAGCTGAGGAAATAAGAGGAACATGTGAAGGAGACAGCAAACAGATCGTATGTAAAATGGGATACCTATTGGGAAGATGATGAACTCAAAGTCATGCTTACAGGAGTGATGATGGCATGTCTTTGGCAATGAACTGTCTGACCAGATTTTAGTAAAAAGCGTAAGGCAAGTGGGAGGAGAGTAGACAGGTAGAACGGAGCAGACTGAGAGCCGTGGAAGATACATAGAAAATTAACTCACCATTAACCCTATTTACATTTATGCTCTGAAAAGTTATTCTAAAATATATAAAGTGGAAATTATTTTTCACTGGGAGCTCATGGTCTGGTAGGTTTGGCCGCAATATGTTAAGTGAGAGCATTTTTAGATTTTCGAGAATAAAACTTGGCATATGGCTCCTGTGGATGATGAGTATCTAAATGAACTTAAGTTTAGAAAAAAATCTTTAAAACAATTTTTGTTGTTGTTGTTTTCTTCCAATATAACTTCTGCCTTTGACCACTAACTTGGACTCATTTTTGACTTGGAGTGGTAGGAGTAATGAGATTTTAGGACAAGAGTTTAAAAAAGAAAAGAAAGGAAAACAGGAAAGGAAGCAAGGTGTGTATGTACAAGCATTGGGGATAAAGCTAAAACCAATAATAGCAAAAACAAGGTCATCATTCCCAAACTTCCATATCTCTCAACTTCAGTGACTTTTACTTAATTTTTAGTTTTTATAAAATAACACATTATTCATTGGAGAAATCTGACTTACAACTAATTTTTCGTTGGCTTGGAGGGCTGTGAGACAGGATGCATTGCTGTGCCCATTTTTCAGCATTCTTTGCAGCCTCAGCATTCCATCTCTTGAAATAAATGACAAACATTTGGAAATTAGAGTATGAAGCTTTTGTGAGTTAATGGAGAAGTGCACGATTACATTTAACACAAATGCTTATTTGGTGAATCATTTTCTAGTTTATCATTTTTCCATTATTGTACCAAAAGATACATTTCTTGCTTTTCTAAATGATTTATTTACCAGGAAGTGTCTTTTTATATAGGAGTCACAGAATAAAATAATTTAGCAAAAAAAAAAAAAAAAAAAAAAAAACAGCCATACAGCCATACAGCTTCCTGGAAACAAAATAAACATTTCAAAATCAAGGCATAATCTTTTAGATGGATACTCACAGATGATAAAATCATTTTTTTAATTAGCCTTAAGCTATGGCTATTTAATTAGAACTGAGATCTAAGTATGTGCTGTTTTCTACCATTATGTCTTTCATAGATTAATACACTGTCAGATGCTATAAGTGTTAATAAGCTTGTGCTATACTAAATGAAATATAGTAGTGTGAAGGAGAAGTTGTATGAAAAAAATACCCCCTACACAAAATAAGAAAAATCTAGGAAGTCAATGAAAATAAGAATTTTAATATTATCATAATCAAGACAAATTAAGCCAAGATTTCAAGAGCCAACTTTCATGGGAGAAAAAAATGTTTCAATCTAGGATGAGAAGAGATGTTCAGAATAGAGAAGGTTTACCATTGGCAAGACAATGTCAGTTATTTATTACGGTCATGGGGTATTTATATATATGGCACAACGTATTACCTCAGTAATAAAGCTAAACATAAGGTTGAGTAGAAAAAATACTTCCTATAGCCTAGATTAAGCACCAACTTTCCTAATGTCTCAGAACTGGAATGAACCGGAAAGATAACAGATCCTATTTCTCATTTATTATAGAAACCCCTCTTACGGATACTCAGCCTGTAATTTAAGTACGGTATATATTCATTCAATACCTCCTAAGACAGTTCATTGTAGCATTAATTGATAGTTTTTTTTTTTTCCTTTTTGTCTTTTTTTTACTGACTGGTAACAGGATCGCAACCCTCGGTGTCGCGCCCGTACCGGGGACCGGCAACGGGATCACAACCCTCAGTGTTGCGCCCGCACCGCGCTCAGCCAGTGAGCGGGAACTGGTCTCCACATGGGATCCAAACCCTCGGCAGGAGCACCGCCGCACTCCCAAGCGGCACACTATCCAGTGTGCCACTGGGCCGGCCCTAATTGATAGTTTTTTAAAAACTTATTGAGCTATAGTATACTTTTAAATATATTTAATCTGTTGATTGTAGTTTAGACCTTTGAGAAAATTCGGAACAAATCTAATTCATTTTTTACATGATAACACTTGAAGTACTTGAATTGGGAAAAGAAACAGAAACTAATTTTTGCTGAGTATCCCATATGTTCCTGGCATTTTATTTACGTTCATATTATCTCTATCAGTCCTCACAAAAATGCAGCAAAGTTTGAATTATTTCCATTAACAGAAAAAAAGGTGAGACTCTTCCAGATTAAGTAATTAACCTAGAGTCTACTATCATATCCTCCTAGGAAGTTCTTTATTTAGTCTATCTCCTACTTCATCATGTTTTGGTTTCCAGGCTCCCCTCCATGTTAATCATCATCTTCTGTATATACTCCTTTTATTAATGTGCTGTACAAATACATACACATTATATAACATATGATCTGATCGTAGCAGAAGAGAGTGGGACTCTCATTTTATGAAACTATTCACCATATTTTATTATAGAGTTTAATATTACGTTTGTAGTTTGGCATCTAATTATCCAAGTTATGCAATCTACAAGGTTTTGTACTCACCATCTGCCCATTAATGATAGCTCTATCCTATACTGATAGAGTCAACAGTTTTTTTGTTTGTTTTTCTGTTCAAATTCAGTACGTTGTATTTAATTACCAGCCTGGACACTAAGATGTCAACTTTCTAGTGAAATAAAGATATTAGAGTATTTTGCATATATAGATCCTGGCTTAATGCCCATTGCTAATTGATTAAATGATAATTGGTAATAATCCATTGACAAGACATGACTTACCATTTTAAGCATGTTGCGAGCATTGGGATTTGTCCTCCTCCTAAGGTCATTGTGCTTATTAATAATCTCCTTTTGGACTGATGAATTATGGGTTAATAAAGAAGAAATTGAGACTGCCTTTTAAGAAAAAAGCAAAAAATTAGCAAAGACAATGTTACAACATTGAAAATCAAAGTGACAGAACTAAGACTGATTTACTTCAATATGGAAATGAATACAAATGTTTAGTTTTGTGTTCTGAAACTTTAACAAGCATCAGACTCAGCTGGAGTACTTGTTAACATACAAATTGCTGGGCTCCACCTGCAAAGTTTCTGATTCAGAAAGGCTGGGTGGGGCCAGAGAATTTGCATTTCTAATAAATCCTCAAGGACCATGCTCTCAGAACTGCTCTGTCTAACTCAGAATTGTTTTGGGGAACTTAGGCTTGTCCTTTTGAATATTACTATTTTTTGCTTCAGCGACAGGTTAATTTGATCCATAAGACTTGTCTACATATGATCCTATTTCATAATATGAAAGAACTTAAAATCCTCATCAGTGGCCTAATTAATACCAGAAAATTCTAATAGAATAAAAAATAGTTCTTGGAATTCTGCAAAAACAAAATGTGACCCATGTGATATCCAGGAAGAAATGTTTACTTAAAATGCAGAGAATTTCAGTCTTTTTAAAAAATGTATGAAACCTAGAAAGGCTATGTTATATCCAGATATTCTTCAGATTAAAAAATGTGAGTGGCATTCTGGAGTGTGTCTGCCAACTATATTCAGTATCTTATAAAGAATATGACTTGTGTGCATACATATGTTTAAAATAATTCAAAAATTGTCCTTTTCTGTCTTAATAAGAGTATAATGGGACAAGCAGCATTTTTTTAAAAAACTGGAAAGATTACCATGTAAAAACTATGGACAATTAAAAGCTGGGTGAAATCTCAGAAATAGTCTAGTATAACGCTGTGTTCTTCTCTAGTTGTTGTCCCACCTAACCTCATCATTGTCCACCCTTTTCTGCCCTGCGCCGTGAAGCTGATCCTTCTGGCCTGTGCCAACTGGGCTTCATTTCCAGCTTTCTGAATGAGTTGAGCCAAAGGGAGGCACTGGAAGGAGAATAGAGGGTGAGAAGGGAAAGAGGTCAGGCACTTCTTGCTGAGCCCCTTTCCACTTCTGCAATCTCCCCCTGGGGGTAGCTGCCTCCATTCTTGACCCCATTCTCTTGACCTCAAACTCTGTAACATTATTTCCTTCTCTAATCCCTCAGGCCTGGGATTGAAAAGCCTTCACACTGTCCATAGTCTTTACCTGGCTCCTTTAACACTGCTCTGCCTCTGTAAATATCGCTTCTTTAAATCCTCTTCATTTAAAACTTCTGTGTTGAAATCTGTCTAGACTTTGAGTGAAAAACCTCCTTTATTTTACCCATGAAAAAACAGAGATTCAGAAAGTTTGACTGAGTTACTTGAGAAGCTCTTTTTTTTATTATTATTCCCAGAAACCAGTTATTTTAAATTTATAAGTGCAAATTAATGAACAGGTAATATATCCCTTGTGCTATTTTATTAATGAGACTGACATATGGAAGTTACCATTGCACGTTTAGAAAATAGCTTACTACATTAAGCATTTTCCTATTAGTGCACTTTTTTTATTCCTTTAATTATTACTACTCTTTTTTGACTCACTAGTGAAAAACGAACAAAACATTTGGCAAAAAACTAAAGTTATTCTGAAAATAAAATTTCAGAGGATGTATAAGCATTTGAGTGTATTAAGCCCTTCATTAAAGCTGGGCAAGGTTGTTTCTAATTAATATCTAATTTCTTTGCTTATTGCAACGTTTTGCTCAGACATCGCCTCACATTCACCATCTTATATGTACTAGTATTGCCTTTCCAAACATCATTACCAGGCACAAAGCAGAAAACGAACAAAACATTTGGCAAAAAACTAAAGTTATTCTGAAAATAAAATTTCAGAGGATGCATAAGCATTTGAGTGTATTAAGCCCTTCATTAAAGCTGGGCAAGGTTGTTTCTAATTAATATCTAATTTCTTTGCTTATTGCAACTTTTTGCTCAGACATCGCCTCACATTCACCATCTTATATGTACTAGTATTGCCTTTCCAAACATCATTACCAGGCATAAAGCAGCAAAAACAGTCATTTGTGTTTTTTTGCATGCTATGTGAATAAGAAGAGGCCAGGATGCCAAGTATCCTTTAAAGATATAGCTCACACCATTAAGAAAGGAAGCCAAAAGCAAATAACTGAGATTCTTGGTGTGTGCAATACACTTCCTGGAAGCCAAAGCTGTGAATACTAAGAAGCAACCTATTGTAATCAGCCTCGGTGATAATCATAACATTCATCAATATATTGCCATATTTTCTTCTTCCACATTTTAAAAAAACTGCGAAGTAATTTTAATACCTGCTATTTATGGAATTACTATTATATAATTTAGTTTTCAAAGCAACCATTGTAGTAGGAATTATCTCCACTGGAAAAATGAAGAAATTAAGGGTTAGAGATTTTGAAGCTCAGATAAACCACTCCTTAATGGGCAGTACTCAGAATAAATGGCTACATGGACTAAAACTCTATTCCCATTTTATAGATTAGGGCCCTGGAAATTATATATTTTAAAAGTCTCATATAGAAAGTTACAAAATCAGTGGACAAAAAAGCCAGAACAAAAATTGCTTTGACACCAAATAAATCCTACAGTCTTTCTATGTCAACACACTGGCACCTGGAAATTTCCTACCCCATAGGAAATAGCATTTCTAAACTTCATTAAAATACTTCCTCCCATGTGTTGATACCAATGTACTTACATGGTTGGCGATGATAGTAAAATAGCTCTGCAGATAACTAACTGTAGGATAACTTGCTGTTACTTATTTTCTTTTGAGAAGTGTGGAAGTTGCTTTATCCTTTTGGTTTCTTCAAAGAACTGTCTAGTCTGAAAAGCTTCAGTTCTTTAGATGTCAAATACACTGTTCGTTTAAATGAATATAGAAGTCATTATAATAACTTCTCTGCTTCAGGATAGAAAGCAAATTATTATATTACTCCTTTCTCCTGGTACACAGCCTAACCTCCAAATTCTGCTTATTCTTATAGCCATGCTGTGGTATAAGAATACCCCAAGGGTGGTAACAGGGAGTGGAAACTTTAGGTCAGATCTTACATTACTTGAATTTCTTTGTTTAGCAAGGAGAGAGATGTGTCTGACTTCTCTCAACACTTGTATCTTTGTCTAATTGCTGACTTTCTACTTGCTTCTTAACGTACTGTGCTCTTTTTTCTGTCCCTACCACCCCCCTGAACCGACATTTGCCAAAACTGTCACAACTCATTTAGTGGTAAATGTAATGGGAACCTTTCCTTCCTTGTTTTGTCTCAGCAGCACTGGGGAACGCTGCCCACACCCTCCTTGAATCACATTCTTCCCTTGGCTTTTGCGATGCTCCTGTTTCTTGCTCCCTTTCTGACAGCTATTTGTCTTCTTCCTTCTCAACTTGTCTTCCTCTGGCTCATCCCTAAATCTTGGTAATCTTCATTATTCTTTTCTAGGCCCTTTTCTCTTTTCACTTTATGCATTTTCCACTTTTGTGATTTCATGACACTTACCTGCTGATGATCCTCAATCCTCTATCTCCAGCTCAGATCTCTTTCACACCTCACCAGAAACCTATCTGACCCAGCTGAATTCATCCTTGGCCCCTCCCAGTGCCTGATCATCATCAGGTACTCCCTCCTGTAGTGAAGGGCATCACCAACCATCCAATATACAAACCAGATATGCCCCCTGCCCTTGACTCCTGACGTCTCATGTCTAACCAGTCTCCAAGTCCTGTAGATTCTACTTTGGAGTTAGATTCTCATTTCCAAAACTGAGTACAGGCTACCATCATAGTCTTTCACCTAGATTACTGAACAAGTTCCCAGCTAATCTCTCGGCCTCCAGTCTTGCCCCTGTTGTATGAGTGATCTTTCTAAAATGTAAATCTGACCACATCACTCTGTAATTCAAACAGTGATTGCACTTAATAGTGCTCATAAAGCCTGGTGGGACCTGGCCTCCTCTTACTATTCCAGGCTCATCCATAGCTCAGCTTTTCTAACTCCAGCAAACATGAATGTCTGTCACTTCCTCATACTCCAAACTGGATTATGCTCAAGCTCTCATGCTATCTCTCTTATCTGCTACAGTTCAAACTTGATGTGACTTTTTCCTCAAATATTTTCCCTTCTTTATCTCTCTTCTCTCTCCTCACTGTTCTAAATCCTACTAACTACATTATTATAACTGAATGAAATGGTGAATAACAAGCCCTTAATTTTTTTTTAAAGCAAATGTTCAGTAATAATATTCCTTAACTTTTCTTTTTCTTCTTTCCTTTCTTTTTCATTGGCGGCTGGTTGGTACAGGGATCTGAAGCCTTGACCTTGGTGTTATCATCATTATACTCTTACCTACTGAGCTAACTGGCTAGCCCAGTAATAATATTCTTTAGAACCCCACATTTGCCTTCACATGAAACTTAGCATACTTTTAAAATTGCTTATTGACTCATAAATCCTCTACTGATCTAAAGTGCTATGTGGGTATTTACTATGTAAATCTTATTTATTGTTCTATTTCTAACACCTAGCACAATGCTGGGTGTAGTAGACACTAAGTAAGCAGTTGTTGAATTAAACTATATTGAAATGTGTTGAGCTAAATTTTGTAAACTAACACCATAGTTTCATTTTTGAATTTGCTGTTTAGGACTTTGCAATATCAGATACATACCTCTGCAAGTCTAGAACGAAATCTTCAAGCATATATTAAGTCCTTCAACTGAATAACCTACTTATAATGAAATTAATTCCTATAAGGCAGTTGATTTTATGCTTCTGATTCATGCAGTACTTTACATCTGGTGCTCATATTGCTGATGCACTGTCCTGTTGCTCACCCGGTAGTGTTAATAAACTTACCCCAAGTTATTCCTACCTCTCGCCTGATTACCTTGTCATTAAAGATACACATTGGTGAGAATAAGGTGAAGTAAATGTGCAT